TCAGCTCAGGATTTTGTTTGAGCATGCACACTCCCTCCCAAACTCCTCTGTTTTTAAAATTTTCCTTCTTTAAACTTCAGCACGTTATTTAAAGTCGGAGCCGCCCTCTCGTCCTTGAAAGCGACTTACAGGTCGTCTGTCTTTCACGTTTCGTTTGAATTCCCTCTACAAGCTGATTGAGGGTGTCAGTCATAGAGGGAGAGGACAGGCTGGCAGGTCGAATGGTGGGAGCCAAGGAGTCTGTCAAACTCCATTGCTGCTATGAAAATGGAACCAGAAGAGCACAACTCTCAGTACAACCGCAGGACACTTTAGAGAGTGCACGGAGGAGGAGGAGGGACTGGAATGCCAGAGCACCATGTCACAGCTGATGACAGTCAATTTTTCTGAAAGTCAAGGGGCTTTGTGAAGCGCACTCCATTGCAGGCAGCAGCAGAGCTGATGGTATTAATAAGGGGAGCACTTACCTGTTTTCCAGGGACATACCGTACAACAGCGTGAATGTCCCACCAATTATCTACCAAGCAACTGTGCCCTTTAACCCATCTATCCATTTCTGGTCTGTTCTCATCTCCCAGAAAATTTAGAGCTTTTGTGTAGCAGAGGTAGCAATGTTGTGTTTTATCCATGGAAAAAAATTTAAAAAAGAAAAAAATTAGAAGGTTTGTGCTACAGTATAACATTTTGTGAGTTCGATATATGGTACTAAGATTTCAAACAAGTTGTTGCAGCGTCCTTCTTCTTCTTCTGCTCTCAAGATTTGGTTTCATTCAATACATGAAGACAGTCTCTTCCTGTTTTGAACACAAAACATTTAAAATATTATGTATGATCCATGCTCATATGCATCATTTGGTGCTTTTAGAGATTTCTATTCAAAGAAATCTCTGTGCTGAAATGTTATATTAAACTTTATGGGCGGATCTCTGTGGTCCAGGCCTGACCAATAAAGTCACTGTGATTCCTCAGCTTATTGTGATGCATTTTAACCATAAGTTACACTAATTTACACAGTTTGATAATAAAAAATGTAAGCACCCATATCGCCAGTAGGTTATTGCAGTATGAGCTCAGTTTATTCGGTTCACAGTATTTTAGTGCTTCTGCAGCAATCAGAGTAACCAACATGACTGAGGAGGACACAGAGCGGTTGGGCCTGTGCAGGTCAGACTTTGGGAAGTACCCCTTGTGTATCTTTGAAACTAAAAAGAGGTCATTAGACAGCTACTCAAAAATTGCAAAACAAATGGAAAAGTTTTGAGCATATTGTAGCTGTTCAAATGCATTGTCAGTTCACTGATTAACTTCTGTATCTAGAGAAAACGTCTCTCTTGCTTTGCCTCTGCAGTCTAAGAGTATGGTTTTGTACTTTAATCACTGAAGCTACATTTATCTGAGTGTATTAGTCTAGCATTGTTTATTTATTTTTAAGTAGGTTGGCAAAGTGACTTAAGTTGAAAAAAATGGTTAACCATCTGATTCATATGGTCTGCTGCTCTCACTGTAAGAGCGAACATTTCAAATATGTAAAAAATTGCCCATTTTTGGGGGATGTTCTATAACTGCTGCTGTTTTTGTTATTCCTTCATTTTCAGATATGTAAAATATGTCATTCTTGTCCAAGGTGTAGCAGCTAGTATGTGTATTCACATGATGGTGAAGTCAGGAAAAAAAAAGAATATATCAGAAGAATACTTGCTGAATTTTGTGCAACATTCAGAAGAACCAAAGGGCTTATTGTAATGTATTCCCCTGTATTGTTTTGACATTTTATCTTATTTGCTTGATCTTTTTCTTAGACTTATCAATTAAGTGGCACATCACATGAAACATTTATGCAGTTTTCACAGTTTTCATTTATTCATTTATTTTCCTTTTGAAGAAACCTACTTCAGTTTTTTGAAAGCCACTTGGACACCAGCAGTTCCCCCGAGTGCTGCGGCCTCTAGGGACCAGCTTTCTTTGATATGACCTTCCTTTCGTTCTTTGTGAGCTTTCTTTGATACACATGGGGTCACCATGGCTGATGCTTTTTATCTCACATAGATGTGTATAATCACTTGATGCACAGTGCATCATTTTACGGCCTTATTCTGAAATGAATTCAATTCATTTTTTACCTCAACCCTTTTCACACAAAAGCCCATAATGACAAAGTGAAAAAATTGCTTGAAATTCTCGCAAATTTATTAAAAATAAAAAACTGAAATATAACATTTACACAAGTATTTATAAACTGAGCTCAGTTGTAGACACCCTACAAGCTTGGCACGTCTATTTTTGGCCAATTTCTCCTACGCAGAACCTCTCGAGCTACATCAGGTTGGATAGGGAGCATCAATGCACAGACATTTCCAAAGATCTTCAGTTAGATTCAAATCTGGCTGGTCCACTCAAGAACATTCACAGAGTGGTCTTAAAGTCACTCCTTTGTTATCTGGGCTGTGTGCTTAGGGCTGTTGTCCTGTTGGAAGATGATCCTTTACCAGAGCCCAAGTTCCAGAATGCTCTGGAGCAGGTTATCATCAAGGATGTTTCTGTACATACATCTTTCCCTCAGCCCTCACTGGTCTCTGAGTTCCTGCTCCCAAAAACATCCCCACAGCACGATGCTGCCACCACCATGCTTCACTGTAGGGATGGTATTGGCCAGGTGATGTGTGGTGCCTTGTTTCCTCGAGATGTGATGTTTGGCATTCAAGCCAAAGAGTTCAATTTTTGTTTCATCACACCAGAGAATTTCGTTTCTTATGGTCTGAGAGTCCTTCAGGTGCCTTTTGGCAAACTCCAGGTGGGATGTTGTGTGCTTTTTGCTGAGGAGTGGCTTCCGTCTGCCCACTCTACCATACAGGCCTGATTGGCCGAGTGCTGCAGAAACAGTTGTCCTGCTGGAAGGTTCTCCTCTCCACCAGACAATGTTGGAGCACATTGAACATGAGTGACCATCATGTTCTCGGTCACCCTTCTATTATGTTTGTTCAGTATGGTTGGTTGACCATCTCTGGGGAAAAGTCCAAATGATTCCTAACATTTTTACAGATGATGGAGGTCAGTCACTGTATTTGTTGGGAACTTTAGAATACTGCATATATTTTTCTGCGCCTTTCCCCAGATCTGTGCCTTGATACAATGCTAGCTTGGAAATCTGCGGCCCATTCCTTGGATTTTATGGCTTGGTTTGGGCTCTGACATGCACTGTCAGCTATGGTACTTATATAGACAGCTGTGTGGCTTTCCAAACCATCTCCAATACACTGATTTTATCACAGGTGGATTTCAGTCAAATTGTAAAAACATGTGTCAAGTGGTCGTTGGAAACAGGATGCACCTGAGCTCAATTTTGAGTGTCATGGTAAAAGTTGTGACTTATGTACATCTTATATTTTTGTTTTTAATAAATGTAAAGTGATTTATTGCTTATTGATCTATTGTGTATAGTCAAATGTCAATTATTGTCAAATATTTCACTATTTTGGGAACAACATGTCTTTTAAAAGGTGCTGATGGACTGAAAAATATGTTTATGACTTACTGTAACACATTTGTCCACTGTGGCTGAGCTCCAGATTGCTGCTTATTGACACGACAAAATGTTAGATCATCACAATGTCTGCTGCAGTCCTACATTTCTGTTATTAAATATTTGATTTTCCTATGTTGGGCTCAGGTGGCTCTTACCAGTAGCTTTACCATCTGATCTTTTGGCCCTTTATGAGCTCACAACTACAATCTCCTGACTGAGCACATCTGGCTTTGTCTAAATCTAGAATCAAGACCAAAGATGACTGGCCCTTTCCCATCTGAAACGCTGAGACTAAGACATGGCATGGGAAAAAAATCTACTTATATTTTGAATTTTTGAATATCTATCTATCTATCTATCTATCTATCTATCTATCTATCTATCTATCTATCTATCTATCTATCTATCTATCTATCTATCTATCTATCTATC